AAATTTTTTAATTATATTGCTTGAACAACAATTTCTCAGCACTGTCAGCTTTAGACTGCTCCCACAGTTAGTACGCTGTCTATTTGTAATACTGAATCCACGCTCACTTTCCCCTGGGGTTGGACGAGGGGTGAGATACCAGTTTTGAATAACTCATGGCTTATGTGGAGTTAAATAATTCAAAATTAAACACAACTGGCAAAGTTAATTTGTATAATGTTATGATACTAGAACAGCAAGTAATGCTACAAAGTTAGAACTATGATATAATCTAATTTCTAATACTCTGCCTTGTATTTTTATTTAAATTGAGGAATTGTTAGCTCTAAAAGAATATAAAGTTCTTTCTAAAGTCATACTCTTTCCTGATAGTTGTATTAACTGTCAGTCTGTTTCCTTGTTTGTTTTATGATGAGACATCTTAGTAATTGTTTTGTATTTAAAAACGGCACTCAATCATTTATTGTTGTAGTATTTTACTGCTACAATAATAAATATACTTTTATCTCCCAAAGTTTACCCTTCAGCCAAAGATTATATAGGTCTATAAAACAAACAATAACACATATAAAGAACATGCTTCTTAGAGCAATCATGTAAATGAGACCAAATGGCTAGCACCTGCCCAAAAGCAAAGACGAGAAGGCAGGAAGGGATAGGAAAACAGAAACAATGGAAATGGGGAACCGGGGTGGAGACGGGGAGAATGTTGACATGTTGTGGGGATTGCAACCAATGTCACAAAACAATTTGTGTATAAATTGCTGAATGAGAAACTTATTTGCTCTTTGACTTTCACCTAAAGCACAATAGAAAAAATATATATTTGTTTTTATCTTTCAATTGATGATAGAAGATCAACAAATAAAGCAATTCTTTCTCTCCAAGTTGCAGGCAGAGTTGCTATCTACATTTGAAAGTAGATATTTATAGTTTTATAGTAAAACTAAAGGACATGCTTCTGTGACAGTCTTCAGAAAAGGAAAACTTGGGGAAGCCTTGGCTATCCTATCCTGAAAATGTAGTTCCTAGGTGGTGCAAATGATTAATGCACTCAGCTGCTAACTAGAAGGTTGGAGGTTCGAGTCCATCCAGGGTTGCCTTGGAAAAAAGACCTGGTGATCTACTTTGGAAAAATCAACTATTGAAAACCCTATGGAGCACAGTTCTACTCTGACACACATGGGGATGACATGATTTGGGGTCTCCATGAGTCAGGGTCAACTCAATGGCAACTGGTTTTTATGCTGAAACCAGTAGTGGTTTCCAAGACTGGCCTTTTAAGAGGGAGTGAAGCTAGAGGTGGTGGTAGGACTGGTTTGCCTTTGCATCCATGTGAACTAAACCATAGAGGTGGTCCCAGAATCACCTTGGTTGTCTCTGTGTCCCTTGGATGGGAGATCGCTTGCTTCTATGGTGTCGCAGAAAAGCTGTGGCCCAGCCTCTTACTCCATCCTCCCAGTGTTGAACCTAGGGTTTGTGGTACAGGACATCATTCCCTCACATGGGGCTTGTATACGGCCAGGCACAGTGACCTTGTGGGTTGGGGCCTCTCTGCTTCCGTGCTACATCCAGGGCTGATGTGATGTTGTCAGCTGTCTTCTACCACTTATACTGTGGTGGTGGTTGTGCCTTTAAACCAATTTCCTTTTCCTGACTATAATGCTACCTTAATGGCAAAAATAACTTTAAAATTTAAAGAAGGCAATAATATCTATTATTTCTCCAGCCAGAGATAAAAATTGTTAAAGTTTTAATCTATTTCTTTCCAGACTTTTATGTGAATATGTACACAATACATTTTATTAAATTGCTGTCAAACTGTATCTGCATCTCTTTACTCATTAATATCATAAGCATGTTGTCCTGTTTTTGGACAATCTATAAAAACATGCTTATGATGGCTGTGTAAATACTCCATCACATTATTGTGCTGCTTCACATTTCTTTATTGTTAGAGAACTTGCAAGTACATATTTATTTCTAATAAAGATGTAAGTAAAGAGATTTAAAGATCTGTCCTCTTATTCATCTATACAGTGCCGCACGTTCTGAATTTATTGATCAAGGTATTAATTAGGACAAGCTGATGAATTAGATTTGATTTTCCATACTTTTCTGGAATTTGTGCATTTATTTTGGACCCAAAATGGGCTCATGGTTCAACAAACAAACACAAGTGACCATACTTGAAACGCTGGGAGAATCACAAGATTAGAGGTAATGGTTGTAGCAGGAACACACTACAGGAAGGAGGTAGAAGGTAGTGCTCATTCCATGATAAGAAAGAAGAGAAGGGAATTCTGGAAAATGTAGTTCCAGTTTGGTTAAATTGACTCAGAGGAAATCTACCATACATTCACCACTAAGCAATCCTTTTTTAGAATCAGCTCAGATATTTGTCTATTTCTGTCATTCATGTAACGTGTATGTATCTGTGATTGTTCTAGCTTGTCCATTTGAAAATAAGCTCCCCAAAGGCAGGAATGCTAATGGCTTCCTTTTCAGCTACCCAGCTAGCAAATTTTCAAGAAATTCTCCTGGCTAATAGATTCAGAAGGCTTCCTGGTGGCGCAGTGGTTAAGTGCTCAGCTGTTAACCGAAAGGTTGGCGTTTCAAACTTACCAGCTGCGGGAGAAAGATGTGGCAGTCTGCTTCCGTAAAGACTTGGAAACCCTGAGGGGCAGTTCTACCCTGTCCTGTATGGTCTCTGTGAGTTGGAATCAACTCAGTGGCAATGGCTTTGGTTGAGTTTGGTTTAGCAGCTTCTGCCTGTATAACTCATGACCTGAATTGGCCTGTAATAAGCAGATTTTGATGGGTTAGAGTAAGGAATTCATGTATGGAAGAGAATGTATATAGCAAAATAAGATAGTGGCAAAGATACTTCTGCTTAAAAGCATAGTCCCTAAAATTTCATTAACAAGCTTGTAACAGAATGTTAAAAATTTAACGGGATGTTAACATTTTTATTTTCATAATGCCTTAGTTTTGGCTGAGGCACAAAGGCCAAGAACAATAAGTTCTCAGTACTCTCACATTTTAAAATGAGATACTGGATAGTCTATGCATTATTATAAACAAAGTAGCCCCCAATCTGTCTAGTGATGTTTAGGCTATCCCTGTTCTCAGGGCATGAAAGTAGATACTTAAAAATTGTGTGCCTTGGAGTATGGGTGTTATAGGGACTGATACACACTCACGCTTGAGAAAATCTAAAGGCACAGGCTGCCTGGCCTGCCTTGTAGCAGAGTAAATCAGCCTAGTAGTACCAGTAACAGCCTGGGCTTCCAGAATTTGGCAGGTCGAGGACATGTGCAGGTATGGACCGGATGTGGCCCTGTGGGGAGGAACCAGACTTTGGCTGTCACGGACTCTTCCTGAGAGACTGCTTGCAGGATAAAGCAACCCCAACAGACATCAGCAGTATGGAAAGGACCTCCAGGAAGTAGGCTCCAGTGAGAGCCATATGTGAGGAACAAAGCCATGAATCGTTTGTGCGGGAGAACAGAGGTTATAGATCCCCACTAGGGGATCATCCAAAGAACAGAAACTCCTCGAGGGAAAGAATCAGCACTGCACTCAAACACCCGACACACCCTGATTCACCACCAGCTGACTCCAACTGGCTCAGCCAAGCAAGAGCGTTTTTGACTCTTGCCCCTCTCACTCCTGCTGCTCTGACTTTGGGGGAAGAGGAGGAGAAGAACAAGGTGGAGGAATATTGATGTGGATCCCACCCCTCTCACATTATAGGCACCCAGGAATTGGAAATAGGAGAAAAATTTTACACTGAATGAGAAATTGTAGTTTGAATAGTAGACTGTTCTAGAATTTTTGTTGTCTGCAAAATGTGGCTATTTGTTAATGCCTGAGAGTGACTGGTAAAGCTAGGAGACAGGCTTTCCCAGGGACAGGAATAAAAATGAGTTAACATGGCTCAGAGGAAAGGCATGATGGTGAAAAGGCAAAATAATGAACTGTAGTTTATAATTAAAAAGAACATAAAAATTATGTGCTTAATGTATTCATAGCCTCCCCCACTTTTGTTACCTATTTCCAGGCTACTTAGCTCCTCGGCGCCTCTCTGTCCCTTTGGATAACCATAATAAGCTTAAAGATCTGTAGGGCCCTACAAGAACCAGAAATAGGCAAGTAGGATTTTACAATTGAAAGGAAGATACCTAATAGGAGAACTGATGATCTAGGAAGGCTAGTGGAAGGATCTAGAAGAAAACAAATTCATTTTGTAACCTGTCTCAAAAAAACAAACCCATTGTCTTCGAGTCGATTCCAACCGTAGCAACCCTATAGGATAGAGTAGAGCTGCCCCGTAGGGTTTCCAAGGAGTGGCTGGTGAATTCAAACTGCCGACCTTTGGGTCAGCAGCCAACCTCTTAACCACTGCTTCGCAACCTGTCTGGAGCCCTGGTGGCTCAGTAGTTAAGAGCTTGATATTCAGGCTTATGCTATCACATAAGGATGATCACAAAAGGCCTCAGAGGTGTATTAAACACTGAGCTAAGTACTAAGGACGTGCCTTGGGCTGTATCTCACCTTTTGATTACTCATCTTTGAAGCTCATTTCCCTTTTAGCTTCTCAGCAATCAGCACTGGGACTTCTTCCAGGCTTTCTCCCCTGTGGGTGTCCACATGGGTGCTGAAATTGCAGAGAAGGGGAGTGGAGACAGATTCAAAGATGGTGGTTCGCTAAGGAAATGTTTGAGGCTGCATATCCGCAGCACTAGAGAGAAGTCCACGACTTGGCCCAACCCCTAGTTGTTTTTCCAGAAATGAACAGTAAGACGTGGGACCAACAAAATGGTATTAAACTTTTATTTAAAATAGAAACTGAAAAGAAAACAGAATCATGTAGCCTTCCCTGTGGTTCCTTTACTCTCTTCTGCTCCCAATTCACGAATCTTGACTTAACAAATGCATTGATTTTCGACTCAATAATTGCAAGCTAAAATAATGCTTTATTGTTTTTTGTTCACCAGGCATTAAGCTTATTCATTTTGGTGGGATTTATAGGCGAGTTCCAAGTTTTTTTAAGGTGAGGTTCTTTTTTTTTTTTTGGTTGTATGTGGAAATTATCAAAAATTATGTTTTTCTGAATTGTACATGTAAAAAAATGTTAAAATGGCTAATGTTTTGTTACATATATATTTACCACAATTAAAAAATTATGTTTTTATTCTTAGGCCATTCTTTATTAAGATTTGATTTTTCCATTGCATCCTGAGTCTGTTTATACCTCCAAGAGTTTTTCTCTTTCTACATTTTTGGAAAAGGCAAGGATAACAAAAGAGTATTTTATTATTATTGTTATTTTACTTTAATTTTTTTCCCTATAAAGAAGAAACTTGAAGATTAAAAACACATCAGTGTCTTTGCTTGGCCCAGTACCATTGTGTTAACCTGAAAGTCAGAGAATTCTAGCAGACCCACAAACCCTAGAGCAGAATTTGGTCTTTGAATATAATCTTTGCAAAACATCATTTGGACATCAAAGGCTGAGAGTTTTTAAAGGAAATAGTTTTATCCTCTCATGAGTCCTGGAAGAAAAGCTATCATCATTCACCCATGGCCTTGTTTTGCTTTCATTCTCAGTTTGATGGGACAGAGCCAGTTCAGTTCATTTTATCCAACTCTTGGACCATGTGTCCGGCACTGTGCTAGGTTCTAGGGAGACAAAGAGGAATAAGACTTCACTGAGAGGCTACTGGGTGATTCAGAGTTTGAAAGAGCTCATTTCAATACGAATGTGATAAGGGTTTGAGAGAGGCCTGCACAGGGTGCCATGGTAGATGAGACTAAGCCAGCTTCCCTTGCTAAGCCTCGAGGTTTGGGGAAGACTTTGGCTTTCTCTTGGACATAAAATAGACAAGAGTAAGTTGAGATTGTTTAAGCGTCGAAAATCCTAAGGTATTTGGATGATTGGTGCCATATTAGAGATATGGCAGAGGTAATGTTAAAATCTACAGGCTAGCAAGATTGGTGGCAGAGAAACACCTGAGACACACGCGATTCTGGAATGGGACTCAGTATTTTCAGGGTAACTTGACAGGCTTAAGGAAGGTGAGAATCACCTTGACTGTCTCTAAGTCTAAGAATGTGCTCAAAACCCAGAGAGCAGAAATCCTGGTTCCTTTATCCTTGGAAGAGCATGGTTTTAGGCAAGACTTCCTGAATCTCTTAGGACTAACCCAGGTAGCTTTCCCCAGAGGGCCAGAGCTGAGCATTGTATGAGAAGTCAGAAACCTGCTTTACTCTTTATTTTCCAATTTAAGTCAACTCTATTTTCTACATGTACTTGATTTGTGTGCAGTTGTTTAAACTCAAGTTGCCTCCTGCTTGGGTGTGTACTTGAAAAGTGGGTGGGGGTTAGGGGAGTGGAGGAAGGGCATTTAAAAATAATTTCCTGTCCATTTAGTCTCTGCCATTTTTTAGTTTTCCACTCTTCATAGGGTCTTTTTAAAAATATGTATATAATTTACTTTATTTTTGTGTTTGTTGTTGTTCAGAATATGCACAGCAAAATATACACCAATTCAACAGTTTCTACATGCACAATTCAGTGACATCAATTACATTCTTCCAGTTGTGCAATTATTCTCATCCTCCTTTTTCAAGATGTTCCTCCCCCATTTATGTAAACTCACTGCCCCTTAAGGTTCCTATCTAATCTTTTGAGTTGCTGTTGTCAATTTGATCCCATATAGATAAGCCTTAAAAGAGCATAATAATAGTTCCGGCAAAATGGCGCTCTAGGCAGAAGCACCACGCTGTCCCTCCACAGAAAAGATCTGAGAAACTAAGCCAAACAGAGAATACAACAATCCTGAAACCCTAAAACATCCAATGAAGAGATAAAGAACTCAGCCAAGCACCAAATGGAGTGAGAAAACTGACAGAGAATGGAGAGCGAGGAGAGATTCATGCAGAGGTCCCCTACCAGCTAACGCAGTGTGGATCTGCCATCTTGGACTCCAATCGGAGACCAGCAAACAGGGGGTACGAGAAAGAAGCCTCACGGAGCTTCCAGAGAGAGACAAAACAACCAGTAATTGGTGATATACGCTTTCCCACCCCCCACCCTTCTTCACCCCGACTTGGCCTCCTCTGCTTCCCGTGGCCACAGTCTCTTGACTAGGAAAGAGCGGCTGCTTGGATTCCACACACCGGAATGGGTGGCTCTCTGAGAGCCATTTGTTGGCTGCTGGTGTTGCTTTTTTTCCACTTCTTTTTATTTCTTCCTTGCCTCTCCCCACTTCCCCCTCCTTTCGCTCGAGTACCTCGCTCTGTGCGTCATCTTTGCTTCTTCCTGAGGGGCTGCAGAGCTCTGGTAATTTGTGATATACGCTTTCCCACACTCTACCCTTCTTCACCCACACTTGGCCCCCTCTGCTTCCCACGGACACAGTCTCTTGTCCAGAAACACCAGCCCACACTAGCTGGCTCTCTGAGTGCCATTTGTTGGCTGCTAGTGTTGCTTTTTTTTTTTTTCTGCTTCTTTTGATGTCTTACTTGACTCTCGTCACCTCCCCCTCCCTTTGCTCAAGTACCTGGCTCCATGCGCCATCTTTGCTTCTTCCTGAGGGGCTGTGGAGCTCTGTTTGAGTGTGGAGCTGCTTCCCGGTTTGGGCTGCTGCGCTGGTAGGATCCCAGGGCTTTTGTTCGTTTGTTTGTTTTGAATTGTTTGTTTGATTTCTTTTCGTTTTCTTGAGTTGGGAGCCCTTTCTGGCCAGGCTGAGCTGCGAGGCAGGGAGACTCCCCTTC